TGAAATAGTAGCTCCTTATCACCATGTCAATCTTCAAAAGTTGAGATTCCATTTTACTCAGCAAAATTCGGTCCAGGCTGAAGGTTCCAGGTGCTTAATGTCTTCAATTTTAGCACACACACTCCCTTTTGTGCAGTTTTTAAGATCAGCATATTCAGTCTTGCAACATCAGTTAAAAGGTTCCATCTTATAAATCACTGGTTATCCTACTAGCTGTGTCTGTCAGATTCCTTTAATACCCCGAAGTCATTAACCTGAAGAAGTAGCTTAGTAAATCTTTAAACTCTAACTCAATTTCTTCTAAATATCACATCAAATGGGATGACAAAGGGCTCATGGATAAAGGGAAAAAATCACCTTCTTTCCTTCATACTTGCTTCTTGTTTTACAAAGTCATAGTAAGTTCCACCACGCCTGCAAACCAATTTGTTCTTATGTGCAAACTAGACGCCTGGTGCACAAAATTCGTGCACTGGGGTTGGGGGGTGTCCCTCAGCCCAGCCTGCACCCTTTCCAATCTGGGACCCCTTGGGGAAGTCTGAATGCCAGTTTAGACCGATTCCTGTGGACATCTCTCTCACAATCCGGGACTGCTGGCTCCCAACCGCTCACCTGCCTGCCTGATCAACGCCTAACTGCTCCCCTGCTGGTCTGATTGGCCCTAACTGCCCTCCCCTGCAGGTCTGGTCCCCCCACCCCCAACTGCTCTCCCTCCCCTACTGGCCTGATCACCCACAACTGCCCATCCCTGCCAGCTATTTGTGGTGGCCATCTTGTGGTGGCCATCTTTGACCACATGGGGGTGGCCATCTTGTGTGAGGGTGTGATGGTCAATTTGCATACCATCTCTTTATTATATAGGATGAGGTATTCAGGAGTAAATGGCACTGCCTGTGAGCCTGTAACTATTTCAAAATAAAAGGTACAAAATAGGCCATTTTTGCCAAAGAGGAGAGAGTATCGATGCCACTCCTAGTGATTTGACTTCTTCAGTACAAGAATCACTAATCCAAAGTGGAAAAAAGTTATAAATACCCACCTAAAACAGCCACTCAATTATTTTTTCTCTCTCTAACCCTTATCCTCATTAAAGATGCAATGAGACAAGATAACATTTTTTCTGAACACATCCAGGTTTTTTCAGTACAGAAAAAGCTGGGTCAACTATCGTTTTCTATTTTCTGGAACTAAAATACACCTATAATAGAGAATCACCAATACTTACCATAACATTCAGAAGCTGCAAGATCTGGAAATGCTTTCCAAATGTTGAAAGTAATGTTAAAAGTTAAATAGAACAGGATCTCAATGTTGAAGCTATGTCTTTCTCAAACTTTCCGTTATGAGAATTTTCATATATGCTGCAATATTGAAATACCATCATGGACACTAACATACTGTCCTAAATTCAATAATGGTTTTTGTTACATTTTCTGTCTTTCTCTATCTCTACCCCCTCCCATATTGTCTCTGTCTCTCTGTCTGTCTGTCTGTCTCTCTTTTGGTTGGTATGTTTTTCAATATAGTCAAATTCTCTGAATTATAGTTTTCCTAATATATGGTATTATATCCATTTATAAAATATATGGTAATAAAAATATCTGTATTATAATTACATGTTAATTTCCCACAGGGATATTTTATTAGCTAAAATACCCAATGGTCTGAACATGATAAGTCATGTTCATTATCAGTATTAACTATGTCCTGTACCTGACCAACAATGGGATATGAATTTCTCCATAAAAGCTGGTGCTTTAGTCTGTCTTCCTAGGGATAAATTAGAGTATTTGTCTACCACACAAATATATAAGTGCCTAATGTATTCTCAATGATGATCAGGGTGTTTTATAGGGAAATAAGTCTCTTATTGCCAATGTAAACTGAATTCTTTATAAAATATTAAGCTATGAGAAAGGTTCCTAATTCTACCACAAAATAAAATGTGGATAAACTGTCCTGAAAAAGTACTTAAATAAATCCTGGGAAAGAGGATTATTGTTGTTATCAAATAATTAACTGTAAAAGAGATAGGAAACTTTCATTGCACTTCTTAGATAGTATTATGGGAGGAACTGTGCCCAAAATGATTTGTTGAAGTCCTAACCCCCTAGTACTTCAGAATGTGACCTTATTTTGAAATTGGGTTGTTGTAGATATAAGTAGTCAATTTAAGATGAGGTCATACTAGAGTGGGGTGGGCCCTTAATCCAGTAGGACTTGTGTCCTTATAAAGAAGAAGGATATTTGGATACAGACTTGCACAGGGGAAAGATGATGTGCAGACGTGCAGGGAGAAGATGGCCACGTGACAAGGAGGCAGCAAGTAGAGTGATGCATCTACAACAAGGAACACCAAGCAATAGCTGGCTGTCACTAGGAGCAAGGAGAGAGGCATGGGACAGACTCTCCCTCGGAGCTCTAGCAGAAATCAGCCATGCTGACATTCTGATTTTAGACTTCTAGCCTTTGGAACTGTAAAAGAATAAATTTCTGTTGTGTTAAGTCAGTTGTGGTCACTTAGTACGGCAGCCTTAAGAAACCCTCACAGATAGGTGATAGATAGATAGATAGATAGATAGATAAATAGACAGATAATCTCTCAGGTTTCTTATGTTTAGTTCTAGTCATAAAATGACAACCTAACAAACTATCCAGTGAAATAGTTTAGTGGTCCCAAAGTTGTTGAATTAAACAATATGTATCTACTAGATTGAGCCACATAAAATTGCCATTTTGTAGGAAAAAAATAATTTAATAGAGGTAATTTTATGTGGCTCCTATAATAGATTGCATAAATAATTCAAGTTTTTTGAAACCCCCCTTTTCTCCTCAAGAGCAGATCCTTGGCTGGCTTTGCTAGGAAAATACTGTTTTCCCTGCATCACTTTCCCTCTATAGATTCTTCAGCTTCATTCACTTCACTCAGATAAGGAAGTTACCATCTCCATGACCTATGTGGAATAAAACACTGGGGGCAACTGCCCTTTCAGGCTCCCCCATCCCCACCCCTCTCCCATGCTCCTCTCCTCCTCTTTGAAGTTTTGCCTGCTATTTCTCTCTCCTCTCCATGCATGGTTTATTCTAGAAAACAATGCCGGGGATTCTATCTAATTCACGTTCAAAGCTGGGTTTCTCCAGGGGATTTTCTCTCCTTCCATTTGGCATAGCAGTGACTGTGTTTGACAACGCCTGCCTTGCAGCATCGCTCTGCAGCTCCATCTGACTCTTGGTTTCCATCCACGTTCTCTTCCTGCCTGCCTTCTGAGGAAGATGTTTCCACAACAGAGGTGGAGAAGAGAATACAGTGAGGGCAAACAAGAGCTTTACTTTCCAATGAGAATGAGTCAGGAGCCTACCAAATGTCTCATCCAAAGTTTTTGACTTAAACCAGCACTCACTTGAGCATTCACAGTCATTTCTGAACGTTTATTTTTCTGTATTTTCATATATCTAGTCCCTTTAAAGGTTTCCTCAAATATGAGATGAAAAATAACCACTCACAAATTTTAATGACAATGCTTTTAACCTGCAGGAAAGGATACAACCAAGTCCAAAAGCGTCTCATGTGTGATTCTGGATAAAGCATGCCAACTTAGTGAGCTAAGAAGTAGATATTTAACAGAAAATTCTATTTCATAAAAAATTTAATATTCCTTAGTTCAAATAAATTTTATGATTATAAGAAATTGATTTAAGAGAAAATTCCAAACCTTGCTAATCAAAAGATTCCTCCACATTCTGGGATAACTTAAATCATTGCCTACACCAAACAGGAAATCCAGAATATAGAGTTGATTAGTAGCAATTGCCATTAAATTACCAACTTCAGCCCTGACCAGTTTGGCTCAGTGGATAGAGCATATGCCTGCGGACTAAAGGGTCTTGGGTTTGATTCCGATCGGAGGCACATGCCTGGGTTGCGAGCTTGGTCCAACATGCAGGAGGCAGCCAGTCAATGATTCCCTCTCATCACTGATGTTTCTATCTCTCTCTACCTCTCCCTTCCTCTCTGAAATCTATAAAAATATTTTTAAAAATATTACCAACTTCAATTAAGCTGTCATTGTTAGTTTGCTATGGCTTTAAATTCTCAGAGATTGTTTCCCAATATCATGCTACTTCTACTCGACTGAAAACCCTGTGCTATTATTCTCATCTTCATTATATGAGATTCTAAAATTTCCCTGTGCCAGACGATGCATAAAGAGCTGGTGATACTAAGCTGTCTTTAGGGGGAAAAAAGTCCATTGCCCTAAAGCTGGCATTATTTGACTTCAAATTTATGATACATCTAGTATACTTTATAACTGGGTTTCCAGAGTATATATATTTAACATATCTGTTGACATAAAATTTGAGAAAAGAAGAATGTGCTATAAAAGGAAATGTTGTCTTTTTGTGGTTTTATAAGGAGAAACAACCTAAGGACAGAAAATGTATGTGGGGCATTAGAATGACCAATGCCCTCTGGGGCACACGGTGTAGTAGTTATATCCTACTGGCATTTGTATTTTGAACTTCCACCTGCATTTCTCACTCACTGGAGATGAGCGTAAGTAACTTTTGCCTCCTCAGCTCTCCTACAGGTATAGAGCAAAAGGAAGAAACCCCCAAACAAACATTCTTAGATGAGCCAGTTCAGTCCTAGCAACATTAGCCCTTGTCCAGGTGTAACTCACTGAAGCAAACCCAACATTTGAAACCTAGGCCTATACGTATATCTGAAATCATGACTGATACACAGAGCCAGGTTCCCCTGCCAGCTCTACATGCTGTTCCTTTCCACCTTCTCCTCCTCACATCCAATCTGAGATCCAGCTGCTTTCAGATCACAAGCAGCATCCGACAACAACAATCATCTGGTTGCACCCTCATAGTTGAAATTCAAATGAGTTAACTGCAACAAAGTGGCTCTTTGCCCTTGGAATCAGGGCATTTGGCTTCTTCAGGTAACAGATCCCTTCGTGATGCTAGTATATATAACGAAATAAACTTACTGTTTTCTTTAACACTTTGAGAGCATAAGGCTTCTGAGTCCCCTTCTGTTTGCATCTGTACACAATGGATGTAGCACCCCTTGAGGGGGAAAGAGACAAAAAGAGAGTGTTATGCTCTGGACATGCAATAAAGGGGAAACCTTGAAAATACAAATCTCTTGCAGTTACCCTCATAGTTGACAACTGTTTTTAAGTTCTACTATAGAACCCGCCCAACTGTTGAGAGTATTTTTTTCTCTTGCAACTGAATATAGTTGGCTCCAAAAAAGTCGGAGGTTTTCCGGTCTGCTCTTTTCCTTTGCCCCACCCCTACACAAGTAGCAACATGTTTACAGCTGTTGCAGTCTGTGGCTCTGGAATAAACTAGGCCTTCAGGTGAGAATGGCTTGTTGGGTGCATATCCACTCAACTTGAGAACCCCTGAGCTTTCCTAAAAGTATGAGTCTGGAGTAAAGGAAGGCATGGTGGCTTCAGTGAGAGGATTTAAGTTCAGCCCTTGGCTCTCAGGGTCAGGACAGTCTCCACTACTTGGCAAGGGAGCTGGGGATCTCTGAGAATTTATACCACTTGGTGCCCTGGCATTCTCCTAGAGCCAGTGTTAGTCCTACAGAGGTCCTGGCTCCCTTGTGTTGGTAAATACTGTTACTACTCATTTCACATGCCCTAACAAAAAGAGTTCTGTGAAATGTTCAAGAGAAAATACTATTTAAAATGATGAAAGATATATAGGGGGAAAAAGCTTGAAGGAGCCCAGCTGGTATGCTCAGTGGTTAAGTGTCAACCTATGAACCAAGAGGTCACTGTTTGATACCCAGTCAGGGCACATGCCGGGTTGCTGGCTCAGTCCCCAGTGAGGGGTGTTCAGGAAACAGCTGATCAATTGTTCTCTCTCATCATTGATGTTTCTATCTCTCTCTCCCTCTCCCTTCCTCTCTGACATCAATAAAAAATATATTTTTTTAAAAAGGTTTAAGGAGTACAGAATGTTTTTTGAGGTTTTTTATTGTTGTTGTTGTTGTTTTACCTATAAAAGAAAATGGTAAAAAGGGGCTCAATACCTAACTTCATGGATGTGCCAGGTTATTGACAGACACTAAAAAGCAGGACAGTGTGATTCCGATGCTCCCTCTCCACAAGGAGAGCAAGAGAACAAGACAGATACAAAGAGACTCACTGACACGCAGGTTTAAAGCTCAACTTAGGAAGGAGAGCTTCCGATAAATCTTAAAATAAGGTCAGTTGAAGTAAATCTGTCAGACTTTGAAGATTAAGCTGAAGGACCTCTTATGATATATACAGTCCTACAGTATTGAAATTTTAAGCAGAACAGAAGTATACAAGTCAAACAGATGCCTACACACTACACATTTTAAATAGAGTCAGGAGGAGTCAGGAATTGGTATTGTAAATGCTAATAGATTTAAAAATTTCAACATTTAAGATATAACATACACATAAAGAAATAAAATTTTCTAGAAATGGAATAAATGAGGGTAAATATATAATTCATTATATTTTTAACTGCTCTAGAAGACAACTATCTAAAGCCAAAATATTAACAATGCATTGTGTTTACAGCATACGTAATAGTAAAATGCATGACAACAATAGCATAAAGAATGGAGGAAAGATAAAAAAATAAAATAAAATAAAAAATAAAGAATGGGGGAAAGAAATAGGAGAGCAAGAGAACAAGACAGATACAAGTACTGTCCTTATACTATATTTTAAGTAGTATAATATTATTTCAGTAGTATGATATTATTTATCTTTAATTAAGAGATTAAAAATAAGCTAATAATGTGGTGGATTTTAATTAACGCATACTAATAATTACATTAAGTTTAAACCTTATGAACACATCAATTAAAAAATGGCACCCCCTGCTTTTTTTTTCATTTCCATTTGAAAAAAAAAAAAAAAGGATGGCTAAATTAGATTGAAAAATCAGACCAAACTATAGGCTGTGTATAGGAAGCCATGTGGAATCTAATGAACAAAATAAACTGATGAACAAAATAGAACCAGAGTCCTAGGTACATGGAACAGACTGACAGCTGTCAGAGGGGAGGAACAGGGGAGACTGGATGAAAGAAGGTGAAGGGATTAGCAAAGAACATATATGCATAACCCATCGACACAGAAAACAGTGTGGTGATGGCCAGAGAGAAGTGGGGGACAGGAGAGATGGAGACATCTGTAATAGTGTCAACAATAAAATAAAGTTTAAATAAAGAAATAAATAGAAAGGCACATACAGGTTAAAAATAAAATGATAGGAAAGAGATACCATGCAAACACTATGAAAATAAATCAGGAATAGCTATACTAACATTAGGTTAACTAGACTTCAGAACAGAGATAGAGATATTACTTAATTATCCAAAATGACATAACAACTATAATTGTGTATACACCCAACAACAGCACTTCAAACTTCATGAAGCAAACACTGACATAACCAAAAGGAGAAATAAAATAATCCACTAATATAGTTGGAGACTTCAAAGCACACTGTTAACAATCAATAAAAAGAAAAAGTAGACAAATTGTCACTAAAGATGCAGAAGACACGAACAGCACTTTCGACTAAATTAACCTAATTGGCAATTTGAGAGAATTCCACATAAAAACAGAATACACATTCTGTTCAAAGTTAGAGAATTCACATACTGGATTCCCAGATTTACTCTGAAGCTACAATAATCAAAGGAGTGGTATTGAAGGAATAATAAACATGGAGACAAATGGAACAGAAAGGAAGAATACAGAAATCATCTTACACATATATATGACCCATTCGTTTCTGACAAAGGTGGAAGGGTAATTTAGTGAAGAAAGGACAGTCCTTCCAACTATTCATAATGCTGGAACAACTAGACATATACCCATATGCAAAAAAAAAAATCTCTACATTCACCTCATACTATACAAAAAGTACTTAAAACGTTGCCGAAACCGGTTTGGCTCAGTGGATAGAGCGTCGGCTTGCGGACTGAAAGGTCCCAGGTTCGATTCCGGTCAGGGGCATGTACCTGGGTTGCGGGCACATCCCCAGTAGGGGGTGTGCAGGAGGCAGCTGATCGATGTTTCTCTCTCATCGATGTTTCTAACTCTCTATTTCTCTCCCTTCCTCTCTGTACAAAATCAATAAAATATATTTAAAAAAAAAAGTACTTAAAACGGATCACAAATATAAATGTAAAACCTAGAACTCTAAAACTTTTTTAAAAAACAAAGGAGAAAATTGTGTAGCCTTAAATATGTAATGCTGTCTTATAAAGAACAAAAGTACAGTGCATGAAAGAATAAATAGGACTTTATTTAAAATAAGAATACTTTTATTTGAAAGTCACAGGCAGGGAGAAAAATATGTACAAATCACATGCCTAACAAAGGACTTGTATTTAGAATTATAAAAATCCTTGAAGCCCAATAATAAGAAAACAAACAATGCATTTAAAATATGGACAAACTACTTACACAAAGAAAATATCTGGATGAAAAATAAGCCCAAGGAAAGATGCTCAGGATCATTAGTCACGAGGGAGATGCAAATTAAAACCATAATAAGATACAACTATACTATACTTATTTGACACCTTATAAAAAGAGAGACAATATCATGGGCTGGCAAGGATGCAGAAACAATGAAATTCCCATACATGGCTGGTGGGAGTGCAAAATGATAGGGCCGCTTTGGAAAACAGCTTGGCAGTTTTTGGAGGGTGGGTGGGAAGAGATCAACCAATGACCTTGTATGCACATATGCATAACCTGTGGACACAGACAATGGGGTGGTGAGGGTGGGTGAGGGGAGAATGGGAGCAGGCTGGAAAAGGCGAATGGGGGAAGAATGAGGACCTATGTAAAACTTTCAACAATAAAGATTTAAAAAAAGAATATTATATGATCCATCCATCTCACTCCCAGGTATTTACCCAAGTGAGATGAAAGCTATGTTCACTCACAAACTTGAACATGAATCTATATAGCAGCTTATTAGTCATCACCCATAACTGCAAACAACTCTAATATCCCTC